CTCAGGGAGGATCCGGGCGGACGGGGAGGGGGGCGAGCTGCACGGGGTGGGGGCGGCAGGGGGGAGAAGAGAGGGGGGGTGCGGGGTGGGTTCTTGGCGACGGGGGGAGGAAGAGGAGGAGGAGGGGAGGTCGCTTTCGCGGCTCGGCCAACCCGGACGCGAACCACCACCCGGTGGCCGGACAGGGACGCGGCACCGGAGATTAAACAATGGAGACGACGCACACAGCGCAGCCGCAGCCACAGCCACAGCCAGAACTTTACTATACTCCAGATTAGCGTACGGGCTCGGCTCAGCTCAGCTGGGTTAGCTAGTTAATTAATCAATTGTCAAGACCAGGTAGTAGTACTATTAGTTACTTATTAAGTGCGTGATTAAGCCTGGCTTTCCGTTTGTTTGTTTGTTTAAGAAGTGCGTGGTTGATTGGCTTGCGGCTCCTTTTCCTTTCCATTTTTCTTTGCGCCGTCCGCCTTTTCTAAATTCCTCGCCTCCTCGTCGGTGGAGGGGAATGGGATGGGATGGGATGCGTTTTTTGGTTGTGGAATTTTAGTTTGATTTTTTAGTGTTTTCTGGAAGGAGAAGGGGGGGTGGGGAGGTGACTGTGACTTCGTTTTAGTCCACATCATGGTCCCTAGTACTTTTCTCCTCCGCTACCGAAAAGGTTGAAATGCATAGGAGGCGCCGTTATTGTTTTGATTTTGAAGAGGAGAAGTGCACGGATGAACTCACGGACATATGAACCCACTTTGTAAAACTCAACTTATTTCTAAAAAATGCCAAAAAAATCTGGAAAAAAAATCTCACTCTTACATCGTCACGTTCTACGTGTGCACGGAGAGTTTCGAGAAAAAGCAACTCTTTCTTTGGCCTATGCGAAAAAGACAACAAAAAAATGTGTCATGGAACGCTATTTAGAAGCATTGAAATTTCTCTTTTTTGCGGAGGCAAAACCGAATGAGGATTTTTTTTCACAAAACTTTGCGCCACGCACACATGTTGCGAAGATGTATGCGTGAAGTTTTCTTTTGAATTTTTTGACATTTTAAAATGTGATGGATATGAATTTTTTGAAAGTGGGTTCATATGCCCATGGGCTCAACACGTACACACTCTTGAAGATGCCTAAGTTTGGTCCCAATTTTAAGCCAGTGTGTACAATAAATCAAGTTTTTCGTAAGCATTGATGCTTAATGATGCGGGAGAGATGCATAATCAAACTTTTATTCTCTAAAAATAAGCACCGATGCAGGCCGAGCTAATTCCGTTTTCAAAACAAAAAAACAAGCACCGATGCTTAAAGAAAAATAAAGTTATTTCTCTAGGCACCTTGCATTGTCCAAGGACTAGATGTTTGAGTGATTCATTGTCGTCCTTTCTGGCCCAGCTCGTTTCTCACCGCGATCCTTTTCTTTGCATCGTCCTCTTTTCTTAATTCCATTGGTCCTCGTCGGTGGAGAGGAATATGATGTTTTTTTGTTGGAGTTTAGTTCGCTTTCTTCAAGAGTTTTGTGGTAGGAGTTGTAAGGGATGACTGTGACTTTGTTTTGGTAGTCAACATCATAGTGCCTACTTTTCCTTTCAAAAGACGAAAATGCATTGGAGGCGTCGTTATTATTTTGTTATTTTAAGTTGGCTAGTCCTGATTTCAAGTGAGTGTGTGTCAGATCCTACAATAGTTAAGTGATTCATCACGGTCCTATCTACCGCAACTCGTCTCTTATCACAACCACCATGTCGAAATAGGGAGGCATAACATGACATTCTCCATTGGCGACAATTGGGCAATTCTACGTTCTTCCACTGCTTGGGTTTCTTCTTCTTTCATCCATGCCACCCCCTAATCTCTCCATGCTAAGTTGTCGGCAGAGACATGAGGCAAGAAAGAGAAAGGGGCGCTACCGCTGGTGATATGGTTGCCATTGGCTTGTTGTTGCCACTGTAGGACAATCATGTGTCATATCTCCAAACTAATGTTGAATCCCAACCGGGTGTCGTACAAGTGCCCTAATCCCCGTATGAATTGACATTGTCGGATTAGTTTTGCTTAGGTTTCATTATACAAATCCTCATTTGCCAATACATTTATGGTCCTTTCTGAGCTTGGGATTTTAACTAAGGGGTCATGATGGTTTCAAACTCTACTATTTGAAAATGAACAAGATAACTATGTTGATTATTTTGCATTGGTCAAGGATGAGGACAAGGGATTTGAGGTTATCCCCACGCAGAACCAGATCTGCAACATCAACGGTGAGATGACCGAGGTGATGAAGAAGATAGAGGAGCTCATAGCGTTGTGAAGGATGATCTTCTGTGTGTTTGGGACGTTTGGGGCATACCAAAAGTTTCTTCAAATTGCCATGTGCTAGATATGATCCGTGGTGAATCGGCTAAAATACGTATAAGACTCATGTACAATCTTTTGAAATATTAGGATCAACTTGGCACCTTCGGAATATTGTTGGGACTTTATATGCACTTTTCACTCTTCTCCCAAGGGTGAAATGACATTGTTTTTTTTTCTCTTTTCAACTTAGTCTTCACCTACTTGTTTTTCAAATTATAAGCTCAATCATGTCATACTATTATAAACTTTACCCATTCTGATATTTGTAAGAAGAGAAAGTTACATTGATGCACCTCAACTCAGAATATATATTTTCACATTACCGCCTAATGCTGAAATTATATCAGAGAGAAACATAATATAATGAGAGACGATTGAAAGAAAATCATAAAAATATTTATCAAAAATAGCTTGAAATTTCGCACGGACAGAGATCAAACCAGCCCATCCTATCATTTTTATATCATAAGATCTAATGCACTGTGATAAAATCATTTAAATCATGTTTTCACATATGTTCGAACAAATGCCCGGTCCGCTGCCACTAATCTACCTCTGTGCCTCTTACCTTATGAGCAGAACAGGAGGGCGTGACAGATGAAACGATCCTTTATCTTGTAAGGAAGATGAAGCAACGTGTTGGCCAATCTGTGGTTGCATGAAAGCAACCAGAAAAGATAAACATAAGAGTGCGTGGATTAGCACTCCAGGGTTGAATTTTATACGCTTGGATGACTCAAAACGGTGGGTAGATAAACAAGCCACTATTATAGCATCCCCAAGTGTACGTGTGTTACTCCTAGTAAGTTAATTGGTTTACACACTGGCTGGCAGGGTGTCGCGGGTTAGTTTAAGCGGCATGATTAGAGCGAGTGACCGGTGACGCACGAGGGACAACCAGCACCGAAGTGGCAGGGCCGGGGTTAGATCAGCTACACAATCAATCAGTGCTAATCTTTTATTCCAGGGTGATTATAATACTGTATGTATACTAAAGTGGTCTGTGGTATTTTATGGGCAGTCCAGCGTAGCCGCTGGTGCGTCCAAGGGGGGAGTGGGATAATAATTGGGGCGCACGCACAATCAAACGTGGGTGGTGCTGAGTAGGACTTTCATTTGAGCCTTTTTCTCGCCATTGCCCGCCCTTCTTTTTTTGCCCTTGCACGCAGGTGCGCAGCTCCACGTTTCGCCGCTTCGGTACGT